CCTGCTACTCCCTACGACTACGGGTCGGGCCACTTGAGTTTGGATCGGGCGATGGACCCGGGCCTAGTATACGACTTGACCGAGGATGACTATGTGAGCTTCCTTTGTGCGATCGAGTATGGGCCCAAGACGATTCAAGTGATCACGCGGGCCCGCGTCAGCTGCCCGGAGAGGAAGCCGATTCCCGAGAATCTAAACTACCCGTCGATCGCGGCAGTTTTCCCGACAGTGTCGAAGGGGGGAGTTTCGAGCAAGACGTTTTTTAGGGTGGTGAAGAACGTGGGGGAGGTTAATTCGGTGTATAGGGTGAAAATCCAGGCTCCGAAGGGGGTTAGGGTTAGCGTGAAGCCTTGGAAGCTCGAGTTTAAGGAAGGGGTGAAGAGTTTAGGTTATTACGTGACGATAACCGTAGACGGTGGGAAGTTGGTTTTGGATGATTCGGGTGCAGTTTTCGGGTCGATTTCGTGGGTCGACGGGAAACGGGTCGTTCGGAGCCCCATTGTGGTGACTCAATTGGATCCATTGTGAGGGGAAAAGTGAAAGGATGAATCTTGATTTGATGAAATCCTATTGTGGTATTGGATTATATGGTTAAGTTGGAATATGGTTACTAGAAACTATTATGTAAGGTTTTGTAATGAAGGGGTTTTTGTTTGTTGTGTTGTAAAGTGATGAGGAGATGCATATTAGTGTGTGTTTGTGTGTGTGTTTTGGATCAGATTTTTGTGTTTAAATTATGTGATAGTTTTTTGCATATGAGAGTGTGATAATCTTATTGTGTTTTAGGCAGTTAGGATTGTAAATGCAATAATAGATAGTTCTTGCAAGTTTGCATTTGCTGGGAAGAATGTACTGTTTAATGAAATGAAAATGGAAAAATTGTCTGTATTTTGTTAACTAAGAAGGGCCACAATATTGATTTGCAGCATTGTTTTTGGTATCTGATTAAAGGTAAAAGTGAAAATATATATAAACAAAGCTTTTGAGAAACTTATGATGGAAGAAATGTTTTTTGTGCAGTGGATGGCCAGAAAAGTCATCATATAACTTTTGTATACGAGTTGCTGATTTATTGCAATTACACATTTATAAAAGTAAATTTATATTTAAAACATAGATTAATGTATATAACTCAATAAAAAATGGTCTCAATGTTACGAATTCGCATCAAATCTCCAAACACCAATTGTAAGAATATATTCCTAAAGAATATGCCCATATTTTTGGATCCTACTAGTACGTATTCCGTTCCATGCACGGGCGAGAGATATTAAATAAGTTATTTTTATCGTTTAAGTCTAAAAAACAATAAGATTATCATTCATTTTTCACCTCTTTTAATCAATATTAAGTATAAAAAACAATATGGTTATAATATATTTTCACCCTCTTTTAATTTGCGTTGTTTCTTTAGCTAGTACATGAAATATGAGCATATTAAAACTAGCTTGTAATAATTATTTCACTAACACATTTATACTAATATAAATTTATTTTTAGTATATATATTTATTCCTTCATATAAGAAGAAAATAACAGTTTTACTTATTCTTGTTCACTTTATAATAGTTAAGAATTAATTTAAAGCTTGGTTGTCATATAATGTTATTATTATTTATAAAAGTTATAAAAATTGTACGTATTTATGTTCTTTTTTATTTTATGTAATGAAAATTATTTAATACACGTTGGTGTTATTTAAGATTAATTTTAAAATAATTTTGTTCATTAATTTTAAAATTTAAGATTAATTTTTTAACAAACACCGGTGTAATATTTGACTAGTTACTAGTAAAATTTAACAAAAATTAGTGGTGTTGGTGAAATAATTTGGAATGGCAACATGACAATAATTAAAGATAGGGTAAGATGCCCTGAAAGGGAGTAATCGAGGATTGGAGCAATCCATGTCCATGTGCTTAATTACGAATGTCACGCCATTATAAGTGCTCTCGTATTCGACATAATCCTATCCTCTAAAAGCAAAAGTCACTCTCAACTTTATATTGAAAAAAACAAAACATTTTCACCAACGATAAAGAAAAAAAAAAAATCAAGAATAGATGGTCGGTTGTCGATCAAGTGTTATTCGAATCGAAAAAAATCGAGTAGTTTGTCGATCAAGTGTTATTCAAATCGAAAAAAATCGAGTAGTTGATGTCTGAATTTGTGCTTGTTTAATAAACGAGTTGAAAGTTTTGCTTAGTTCAACTAGGTTCATTTGATAAATCTAACATCATAAACGAGTTGTCTGCGAATATAAAATGTTTATTTCATTACAAGTTTGACTCGAAGTTTCAGTTAAAACCTATAAAAAGTTCAAAATTTAAAAAAACGAACGAGTATCGACTTGTCAAAATCGAGCTCGCTTAATTGTTCTAATTTCGCTGGTTTAATAAAAAAAAATAGCTAATTTTGCTTTTTTAATGAATTGAATTGAGCTGTGTTCGCGGTTTAGTTGTTCTAAAGTTCATTGACAACGTAGTATTCGGTTCGGGCATGTGGATTTTGGATAACTGGGCCCAAGGGTGGTCCGAAAGAACCATGATATGGGCCTTATTTGATATTCTGTAAGTGGGCAGTTGATTTCCATAGGAAGAAAACCACACAGGCTAAGCTATTGGGCTGTGTACAGATCCAGAAAACATGACCGCTCAATTGGGTCCATATTTATTGGGCTATGTTTTTGCTGCAAGAAATAGCCACGTTTTATTGAATTTTTAATTTAATTCCTATTATTTTTTTATAAGGATAAGAGTTTTGTTAACTTGCAAAGTTGATTGCAATCAAGGAATTTATTCTTGGCGTTCAAAATCTCGTTTTCCTTTCTTTCTCAAAGAATCATTGTATTCTACTAGTTCTCTCATGCAAATTGGTTTCAATTCGGTTCTTGGAATAAACATTTCCGGGCCGAATCCACTTTTCGTAGGGATATTGAATAGTTTCTGGAATAAATGTTTCTGGGGCCGAATTCATTTTTCGTAGTGATATTGAATAGTTTTTGGTAAACAATTCGCGCGGGACAGGCTAATCACGAAACGGTGACCGATGTACCCGGCAACTCGTATTGTTTGTTGACCAAAATTTAGGAACTGAGTTAGTATAGATAACATAATCAAGAAGATATAGCTATTTTGACTTCTTTCTCTTGTTTGAGACAAAGTAAATTTAGGTGCTCATAAAATTAAATTTTGATTAAATTTATTGGTTTGAATAAAGTTGATTATGTGGATGATTGAGTGAGAATTTTAATTTGTATTTAAATAACATACTCCATAAAATATGAACATTAAACTTAACGTCATTTAGAAATATGAAATAGATTATTAAAATTAATAAATAATTAAAAATTAGTGAATAAATTTGGTGAATTAAAGTTTAGGTAAATCATTGATGTTATTAAATTATATTGATTATATTGAATTAAATCTGTATTGAATATTGAATTATGAAAGTGTAAAATGTTCATTAAATCAACCAATTAATTTTTGTAGGCAATCTCGGTCATGGATAGTGCTGTTAAATTAAACGAGCATGGCTCGGCTCGGCTCGAGCTCGGCTCGTTAAGGCTCGGTTCGGTTCGAGTTCAAAACCGAGTCGAGCTCGAGTTCGAGCTCATTTAAAGCTTGTTTGGTTAACGAGTCGAGCTCGACTCGGCTGGGTAAGGCTCGTTAAGACTCGAAAAGTGAAATTTATGTAATTTTTTATAGTTCGACTCGTTAAAACTCGAGATCGGCTCGTTAAGGCTCAATCTCGAGGCCTTAACAAGCTGAGCTCGAGCTCGAGCTCAAATACCTTAAGCTCTACCGCCCCAATCATGGATAAGTTGAAATCATCCAAATTTAAGAAAACGAATTATGGAAGGAAAGACTGAAAATATCCGAACCAAAAAATCAAAAATAATGGGCAGTTTTTTTTTTTTTTTTTAATGGGTTCAATAATATTAAATAATGGGCAGTTTTATCAGTTACTTTATTAGTCACAGTGTACAGCTAAACCCCACGGTGGCTACGCGGCGTTTGCACCGCCTTGCTTAGTGGCAAATCTCTCTTCACAATCACACCTCAAAACCGACACTCACCATTTCCCATTTCCCCCATTTCTTAAGCTATAAGATAAGATTTGCCCATTTATTTAAACCCTAATATCTCGAATTCGAATCCCTAAAATCAAGCTATCAGAAAATTAGAACTTTATTAGAAAAAAAAATAAAAAAAATCAAGATTTGAAGATCAGCCATGGCCTATCAGAACCCCCAAGAAGGCAAATCTCTGTATCCACAAGTTATCCAAACGAATCCTAACCAAAACACTTGGCCCCCATCATCTTCCTCCTCGCTGTACCCTTCCATCGAAATGAATCAGCTTGCGGAGAATCTCTTCCCTGAGACCGAGGAGGACCGGAACCCTAAAAGCCCCACCTCCTTCGATTCGTCCGAGGAGGTTCTGGTGACGATCCCCGGCGCGATCCTCCACCTGATCGACCGGCGGCGCAGCCTCGAGCTCGCGAGCGGCGATTTCACCGTGGTCCAGCTCAAGCAGGGCGGAACCGTCGTGGCCGCCCTGGCCCGCGTCGGCGGCGAGATCCAGTGGCCGCTCGCCAAGGACGAGGCCGCCGTCAAGCTCGACGACGCCCACTACTTCTTCAGCCTCCGTGTTCCCAACGAGGCCGACGGTATGCTGAACTACGGGCTGACAATCGCCGCTAAGGGGCAGGAGGGCCTGCTGAGGAAGCTCGACTCGGTTCTGGAGAAGTTCAGCGCGTTCAGGGTAGAGGGGGCGGCACCGGCGGAGGCGCAGGAGTGGTGGGCGGCGGTGGCCAGAGGGGTCTCGCCGGAGGAGATGGAGAGGAAGCCGGAGGAGGTGGAGAAGAGCGCGGCAGCTTACTGGACCACGATTGCGCCTAACGTGGAGGACTATGGTGGGAGTTTGGCGAGGATGATAGCTGCTGGGTCGGGTCAGGTGATTAGAGGGATTCTGTGGTGTGGGGATTTGACTGTGGATAGGCTTAAATGGGGGAAGGAGTTCTTGAGCAAGAGGATGGGGACGAAGTCGAATTCGGATGTGAGTCCCGAGGCTTTGAGAAGGGTCGAAAGGTACAATCTTTCTCAACTTTTTTGACCTGTTTATGCCGTCTTAGCTTTCAATTCTTGTAGTGGCATTTTGAAATTTTGGGTTTTGTTTGATGATGTGGGAAGATTTGAATGAAGACTTGAAGTTTGGTGATTTGTGTTATGATTTGCATTTGGTTGATGGTTTTTTGCCCTGGGTTTTGCTGTTTGACCTTTTTGTGACACCTTATATGCTGTTTTTGTTGTATCAAAGTCATGATATAGCTGATGATTAAGTTATCTCAGTTTTGAATTGCATTGGTCTGTGTGTTTTGTGTCTGTAGGATAGGAGGGGATTTTGAATATAAAAAATGATCATATTTTTATATGCTGTGTAAGCTTTCAGTTGTTTTCTTTTACTGTTGTTTTTGATGTAGTTTGGAAGTTTGGGTTTTGTGTTGATGATGTGGGATGACTTAAAGTTTGTTCCCTTTTGGAATGCTGTGCATTTGTGTTGATAAATTAACTATGTCATTTTGAATTATGTGTGTGTTTTGTGTCTGTAATTCACTAATTTGACTTCTGATGTTGCTTAATAGTACTTCTAATATTATTGACTTTCTTTTTATGTCTTGAGTAAGCCTTTTTGTTTCATTTTATTCTCCTCATGGTTTTGAATTTTTCCAGGGTTAAGCAGATGACCAAAATGTCGGAGAAAGTCGCGACAGGTATACTTTCCGGTGTGGTGAAGGTCTCTGGCTTCTTCACTAGTTCAGTTGCAAACTCGAAAGTCGGCCAGAAATTCTTCAGCCTTCTCCCTGGAGAAATCGTTCTTGCTTCCTTAGACGGATTTAGTACGTTAGCACTACAAAACTCGTGATCTCGAAAACTTAGTAGCTTTTCATGTTTTTTTTTTTTTGGTAGAAAATAATAAAATTGGTCATCTTTTCTTCACTTTAACATCGTTATTTTCCTTGTCGTTTTAACAGATAGGGTTTGTGATGCGGTTGAGGTTGCCGGAAAGAATGTCATGTCTACTACCTCGGTGGTCACGACTGGCCTCGTCTCACAGAAGTAATTATATTACGATTCTTGAAGGATATTTATAGCTTACAAGTGATTTTCGACCTTATAGCTTATAGCTTATATGATAAGTGTTTGATAAAATTAGCTGATAAGCTTGCTGAAATAAAAATTTCAACGATGATAAGTTAGCTGAAATGAAAAAGCTCGTCCTACCAAATGAAGCTTATTCGAATATAGGAAGTAAACCAAATAAAGCTATAAGCTAGTTTATTTGGTTAACAAACACACCTTAGTAATTTAAAAGTCGGTTTAGTTAATTCAATAGTCTACCTATCTATCTATTTAATTATTTCATTTTTTTGCTTAATTGTTTTTACAGATATGGAGAACAAGCGGCAAAGGCGACTCACGATGGGCTAGGTGCTGCAGGGCATGCAATCGGGACAGCTTGGGCCGTTTTCAAGATACGAAAGGCTCTAAATCCGAAAGGAGTCCTTAAACCCACGACACTTGCAAAGGCTGCAGTCGAAGCAAATTCAGCTAAATTGAAGGCTAAAAAATGAATAAGAAGTGATTTTCTTGCTCTAGATGGATTGAAAACTCTAAAGCATATTTTGCCTTTGACATGTATAGTAGAATATATAAGTTCACTCAAATTTTGCCCGTCTATTTCAGCAAACTAGGTTTTATTGTCCTTTTTGAGCTTCTTAGAATTTTTCACTTTGTAAATGCTATTTATCTATTGCATGTGTTGTTACGTATGAATATTTGATGTTCTATTGGAATTTCTTTCAAGTGGCTTGAATTTTTCCATTTTTCACATTCTGGCAAACCTTGAGTCATGAAGGCACCAGGGCTTTGTTTTGCAGTCTTGCATATGGTTGATGAATAGTAAGGATTTTGGATGGTCTTGTGTTGTGCAAGCTGTTACGATGAACGAGCCACTTGAGAGTTCAATTTGTTAAGGCAAAACTCGGAGGCGGACTAGCTGGGCTAAAGTTGCGTAATATTTGTTTGTTTACGAGTTAAAGCTCGAAAATGGAAATTTTTATGTAAATTTTTATAGCAATGTTTGTTAAGACCTGATTTCGGTTCATTAATATTAACAGACGAGCCAATCTCAAGCTCTTTTATCTAAATGAGACCCGAGTTCAGTTCACTTGACAAAGGCTCGAGTGAGGTTGGGCCTCGAGCTCGTTTTCTAATGACCCGAGTTTGAGATAGGGGCACTAACTCGATTATCTGAGCAACCCGAGCTCGACAAATACTCGAGTGAGTTCTGGACTCGAGCTTGCTTATCTAAACGGCTTGAGTTCGAGATCAGGATCAATCTCGTTTATCAAATGACCTGAGTTCAGTTCATTCGACAAAGGCTCGAGTAAGGTCGGCTCGTCCCGTCCCGTCCCTACAACATATCTCAATATTCCCTTCTGAACTTGTGCGTGATTTGGAAGTCAAAATAGTTGTATACATCTTCATGGACCATGACTTGTCTGAAAGAACATTGGGCTTGTGGCCCATCTTATGGGCACTGTGGACCCGTGGATATAGCCCGTGTCGTTGATCATTTTGGACCGTGGTTCATTGGCCAGAACGGATCTGAAAGACGAACTGATTTTAAGGCCCAGCCCATGCGGAATTAGTAAACTGTGATCCAATTTTTACTTTTATGCCGCAAATTTTGCTTAATTAGTGGATGGAAATAAATTTTTCAATAAAATACAGAAAGTGACTACCAAAAATTTTATGTTCGGAAGGTAAAATAAAATATCACTTTATAATATGGTCATTAGTCATTAGATGTCTACTATAGGCTGGGTGCAGTTAACACGACTAAATTTCAACAAGCAATGGTAAAAAACTAAAAACGATACCAAATTAGTTCGGAGGAAAATATCAACCTATCTAATACAGTCTTCGAAATTTTTACCGTTGAATCAAAATAGACGCACCTAACTCACACGAGTATATATTGACCGACAATATAAAACCGCATCAATTGCCGAAATTTTAACAGTTCGAAATAATATACATATACATATTCACATATGATGTAGGTAAAAAAATCCAATAATTTTAAGGATAAGAATTGTGTGAATGGCAGATAGAATAAACATGGGACAAACCGAAACAATTTTTTTTATTTTTATTTTTATTTTATTTTTTTTAACTGCCAAAAGCATCACAGTTAAAGGGACTCGTTAATATTGACTACTCACGAAGCCCACATATATATATATCTATATCACTTCATTTACATGTTCAATAATTGCCACCCATATTTTGTCAGTTTTCAGTCAATAATTTACCAAACTTCAATTCAAAATTGTTTTACATTATTTGTCGGTTCCCCTGTGGATCGGGACCGAAAGGTCCCTGTACCAAAAAAAAAAATTGTTTTACATTATTTGTCTTTTAAAACTAACGCACCACACCATAATATAAAAAAATCCAATCGAAATTGAGTCGAACTTTTTTTTTTTACAGACAAATCGAATCGAACTGTATAAAATTTTATAATTTCGACTCAATTTTGGTCATTCTTATAAGTTCAGAAGACTTCTATCTCGAACTTTTTTTTACAAACAAATCGAACCAAACTACATAAAATTTTATAATTTCGACTCGATTTTGGTCATTCTTATAAGTTCGAAAGACTTCTACCATGGATGATATTTATGACTTTAGATAACGCCATAGTTTTATTTTATTTCAATTATATTAATAATTTTTTATTTTTTTTTGGGCTAAAATGTGGTAGGTAGTTTAAAAGGAGCAGGTGGGTTGTGTCGTGTGCGGGCCCCACGTGCCATAAATATCTGTTACAATCAAAAGCTGCCCAAAAGAAGTAAATTACGGGGAGTTGACCGGATTATAGTTTGGTTCGGTCAGAGGAGAAACATAAATCACGGTCACGGGCAGAGGAGACAAACTACCCAAATTATGGCGTGAGGCGGTGGATGGGCCCATTGTGGGCTACGAATATCACCCGGCACTTACTTCTTATGGGCCTCCGGGCCTTAACGGCTTCCATATAAAAAAGAGGATATCGTCTACCAATTCTTATCTACTAATGGGCCTTCTGGGACCCATGGCCCACCTATTTTATCTTCACATCCCACCAAACTCGTTAACTTCTTTCACCTGCCACTCCACCGCTATCGTGCGCATCTTTCACGAGTAGGTTAGTTTCGTTATTTTCAAGGATATGCAATAATTGAACTTAAAATAATAATAGTTTACTATTTATAAAATTTGTAAGAATACATGAACCATCGCATTCACTTGGGGAGAAAAATAATAATAATAATAATAATAATAATAATAATAATAATAATAATAATAATAATAATAATAATAATAATAATAATAATACATGCATGAACCACAACCTTAATTATAATGTCAAATGTCACAGCAGTTTAGGTAGAAATCAACAAGTTGAATGTGGCCAATTGAGGCCTTATTTCGTTCTCAATCTTAAATGGAATTAGTGGTTGGTAATGGAAATTAATGCTATATAATGTCCATTTTAAGTGTTAAAATGCAATATATGCATGTGAGGCCATATAGAGTATATAGGAACTTGGTGGGTTGAATTGAATTTATTAGGTCAACTAAGTTGTAACTTGCCCACTCTCCTAAACGGGCTATATTCACTTAGCATGTATTAGTCGAGCTCGATTCGTTAAGTTAATGAGACGATAAACGAGCTCGCGTTTGATTCGTTAACAATCAAGTCTAACAAGCTTCAAACGCGTGATCAAGTTCAACTCGTTCAATTCACAAGCGGCTCGTTTAGTTTAAGAAGTTTGGTTCAAAAGCTTACGTTAGTATTTTCTTTTATTTTCACAATCTATTGCCAATAGCAAAACAATTGAAAATGATGATATCAATAATGGTCATGATTAGGTTTAGGGTTAAACAAATTAATAAAGCTTCCATATTATTTTCTTCACTTATATGCCACATATTTTGACTTTTGAGTGGCAATTTACCTGATCCTTTTATCATTTAGTTGTCACGTTAGTTTATCCCTTATCCACCAGTGAACGTAATTTGCGTGCACCTCCTCTGAATGATTATAATTCTTCAAAAAGACGATAAAAAAATAATGATAAATTTAGTTAGCTATCCCTCCCTATTTATTAATTCAAAACGTGTTGAGTTGAGGTGACAGATTCTCATGCTTCGGAAATGCTGACATGGTGAAAATTTATGTTTCGTAATGTTATTTTTATATTATTTTTACTGTAGAGTTAGGTTTGGTATTAGACATAAATAACTTTACACGTATATTCATTAACTCAACACCCATGTTGTACGTGAGTATTAGTAAAAGTGATTATTTCAATTCAAAAAAATTATATAAAATTGTATCTTCGTGCCACGCGTCAAAGTGCAAATAGTGAAATTTGTGTTGGCTTAGACATTTACATTCAATAATTGATTAATATAATAATAATATTCATGGCATGCTTCTTTTAACTTTATATATATACTCTCTTGTCATTATCATTAAGTAAGAAGTAAAGACAATAGTATATATTTAAATTTAGTCAATTTATTTTCCACTTTGGTTGGGGAAAAAAAAAATGTAGCCTGCACATGCTTGCACTAAAGGAAATTTTGACTTTATTATTATTATTATTATTATTTATTATTATTATTATTATTATTATTATTATTATTATTATTATTATTATTATTATTATTATTATATTTTGGAGAACTTTTACCTTGTTTAGTTTTAGCCCCATCGTTTTTCTACATTTGTTCCATTAAAATAGAGTGTACTGCTCAGAATAATGCATTGAAAGCGAATATAAAGAGCCTAATTCTTAAACGAAATTAAAAAAAAAAAATTATAGAAAAAGATGAAAATAATAAAAGAATGGGATGCAAATGGTGCAATTCGGGTCCATTGCGGTTAGCCGATAAGTTTAATCAGAATCGTCTTTCCACTTCTGAAAATATACGATACTAACCATATATTTTGAGCTAAACGCAAAAATTATGTCTATTTCAAGTTCTACCGATGAATACTCTTCAAACGATCATCAAGTGCCCAAATGTAAAAGTTACATATATTTTGAATTTTGTCGATGAATACTCTTCGAATGATCATCAAGAACTCAATACTCACTCTTAATACGTTTAGCCGTACCGAATGAGATTCGGGTGGAAGGATGGAAAGAGTAACAAGCGAAAATATAAAAGAAAAAAAAAATGTCAACAATTAATTCAAAAAAGTCAACAATTAATCCAAATTAATCGGTTATTATTTCTTGCAAAAAAAGTGGAAGAAATATCTGTTGGAACCTTCTAATATTTCTACCTAACACAATTTATAAAGGTTGAAAAAAAAAAAAAAA